TTCCCTGTTCTGCTGCCCTTCTGGGGGGGACCTGAGGGGCAGTTGGCCAGGGGCTGCCATCCGCTCAGCCGGGCTCAGCCTCTCGCCCCTCCTGCTCCTGCTGCCAGGTGTGAAGCGCCTTTGGGTGCCCGTCCAGCGCCTGCCCCCCTGCACCCTGCGCCAGGCCCTGACCTTCTTCCTGGACATCACAACCCCGCCAAGCCCCCAGCTGCTGCAGATCCTGGCCACACTGGCAGAGGACCCAGGAGAGAGGGACAAACTCCAGCGCCTCGGCCAGGTCAGTCGGCACAGAAGGGACGCCTGTGGGGCGGGTAGGCAAGGAGACATGCTGGTGCACGCACGGACACGGTCCTCAAAACACTCACCTCCCCCACAGAGGGCCTTGAAAGGCCAGCCAGGTCAAGGTGGGCAGGGGGTGGGAGAGAGCACACACACACACACACACACACACACACACACAGCAGAGGGATCCGTGGGGTCCCATTTGGGAAATAAATGTACGCTCTGGGAGCTTCCTGAAAGACCCCTGGCTTTGTCAGGGAGGTGGGTAGGCTGGCGGGTGGGCAGAGGCCACAGAAATAGCCCTGGAAGCCACAGGGTGGGGGGGTGACCTGGGCAGGTCAGCGTCCCCCACCTCCAGAGCGCTCAGGCAGAACTCAGACCCCCTCCTGACTGCCAGCAATGTGGACGAGCTACCGTTTGGCCCCCTCCTCACCCAGCCCCCTTGCTGTCCGTCCCTGTCTCCCCCCGCCCCCGGCCAGGACTCCCTTCTTTACGAGGAGTGGAAGTGGTTCCGCTGCCCGACGATGGTGGAGGTGCTGGAGGAGTTCCCCTCGGTCCCCCTGCCGGCTTCGCTCCTCCTCACTCAGTTGCCGCTGCTCCAGGCCCGTTACTACTCCATGAGCTCCTCCCCGGACGCCCACCCGGGCCAGATCCACCTCACGGTCGCTGTGCTCAACTACCACAGCCAAGGTGAGACGAGAGAAAGGGAATGGGACTCTGTGTGTGTGTGTGTGTGTGAGAGCGAGAGAGAGAGAGAGAGAGCGAGAGAGAGAGAGAGAGAGCGAGAGAGAGAGAGAGAGAGCGAGAGAGAGAGAGAGAGAGCGAGAGAGAGAGAGAGAGAGCGAGAGAGAGAGAGAGAGAGCGAGAGAGAGAGAGAGAGAGCGAGAGAGAGAGAGAGAGAGCGAGAGAGAGAGAGAGAGAGAAGGAGAAAGCCCAGATCCCTGCAGGGGGAATGTATGGCTGGAGGCAGAGCACTTTGGACAAGAAAGCAGTGGTGCAGGGGCTAACCTGGACATGGAGGCGCTCACCTTGATGGTTCCCCCTAATTTCAAAAACCCCCCAATGTATTAGGAGTCCAAAAATGCAGGCAGCTGGCTAGGTCCATGTCAGTCACTAAGGAAGAGGTCTTTTGTAAAGATAATGGCTCTTAATGGCCTGATGAAGCCCAAACGTGTGACAATACCTTGTCCAAAATCCCGCTGAGTACATTATACCCACGGAAGGGTAATTAGGTCACTGACAGGGGGAGATTTTTTTTTAATTAAAAGACTTCCTCCTTTTTGCCTGACCTCTGAATAACTTCTTGGGAGCCCCAGGACAGAAAAAGGAAATGAAAGACTTCTGGAAAAACCCTTTGTCTCCCAGCTAAGCTTGAACAGAGATGCTTGAGAGGAGGTGCGGGGGAGGCCTTTGGCGTCTTGACCCCATGAGCCCTGGTTCCTTGACCCCCATCTCCCCCCACCCTGCTGCTCCTGCTTCTGTTCTGTCCCACAGACGGAAAGGGGCCGCTGCACCACGGGGTCTGCTCCTCATGGCTCGCTGGACTGGCACCAGGAGAGATGGTGCCCGCTTTCATCCGAAGGTAAGGAGCTTGCCAAGAACAGGGGACTCTGAGAGTCTCCGGGTGGCCAGGCACCTCCTCACCCCTTTTTAGGAAGCTCTTGGTTTTCTCCAACACAGACCACAGAATACCCCCCACCCCCACGGTCCTGCTGATTGTCTGAAAGGGGCAGGAGCCATCCCTGGCATGGCACGGGCCCCTCCTGGCAGAGGCCTTGGGCTGCAGGTCTTGAGCAGTCGTGTCACTGCGCCCTCCCCAGAGGGAGAGCCTCACTGATCTGTTTCCCTCCCCCTGCTTCCTCCCACACTGCCCCCCTCCAAGGGACTGATCCTGTGCCTCTGCCCTCCACAGCGCCCCAAGCTTCCACCTGCCCCAGGACCCCACGGCCCCCTGCATCCTGGTGGGGCCTGGAACCGGCATTGCCCCCTTCCGGAGCTTCTGGCAACAGCGGCTGCATGACATCGAGGTCAAAGGTGGGTCAGGAAGGGGAGCAAAGTGGGCGCACCAAGAGGGCGGGAGCCAGCCAAGGGCACAGCAAGAGAAGGGGGTGTGCACGTGCACACACACACCCACACCCCACACACCCTGCCTTGCCTTCCCACCCACCTGACCCCCCCTCGCCTTCCAGGCCTCCCACCCGGCGAGATGACGCTGGTCTTCGGCTGCCGGAGTTCCTGCCACGACCACATCTACAAGGAGGAGATCCAGCAGGCCCAAAGCAAGGGGGCCCTGAGCCAGGTCCTCACGGGCTTCTCCCGCGACCCAGACTATCCCAAGGTAGTCATCATCATCACACCAGCCTTGCTGGGGGGGAGGGCAGAGGCCTGTTCCTCCCATGGCCAGCGGGCGGGGCTGTTGCACTTCTAGCCTCTCAAGGAGGAGGCCGCCTCCAGGGGTCGGTCCCACAGGACAGCTCACCAAGCAGTCAAGATTCTGCTCCCCTGGCCAGGCGTTGGAAGAATTTTAAAAAGCTCCTTGGCCAACCTCCCGCGCATGCTTTCAGGCAGAACGGAAGGCTGGCCCATCCAAAGTGGCCGAAAGGGGCGCCTGCTTCCCAAGGCCGGCCCCACCCTCCTTCCTTCCATCCTTCCTCTGGCCTCCTAGAAGAGGCTTCGAGGGGGGGGGTCAGAGGGGAGGGCGGTGGCCCCGTGCGGGCTTGCCCCCCCCTTGCTCCAGGGCTGAAGCCTCCACCTCGAACGGGGAACTGCCACCAAAGGTTCTCTCTCTCTCTCTCGTCCGTCCACCCCCTCCCTTCCCCTCCCCCCCCAAGACCTACGTCCAGGACCTGCTGAGGATGCAGTTGGACAGCTATGTCTCGGAGGTGCTGCTCCGGCGCGCCGGCCACATGTACGTCTGCGGCGACGTCACCATGGCCACTGGGGTCATGCAGACCGTCCAGCAGATCCTGGCCAAGGGTGGGCAGATGACCCTGACCGAGGCAGGGGACAAGATCAGCGAGCTCCGGGTAAGGGAGAGAGCGGGCCTGGGCGGGGAGGGAGGCCCCCCCCCACCGGGTCCACCCTCATGGGACAAGAAGAGGCTCAGGTCCCTGCGTGGCCCCTCAGCTCTTGTCCTTCTTCGTAAGGCAGGGAGGGGGGAAGGATCCCGCCCCCAGTCTATCCAGGCCGTTCCCTTCTGGCACTTCCAAACCCTGCCCCCCTTTCCTGCCCCCCCAGGACCAGAACCGTTACCACGAGGACCTCTTTGGCCTGACCTTCCGCACCCAGGAGGTGGCCTCGCGCATCCGAAGCCAGTCCTTCACCTGCCAGAGGAGGATGCTGCTCCCAGAGCCCTGAGCCCCGGCTGTACACACCTCAGACCCTCTTCTCCGGGCGGGCGGGCGGGCAGGCAGTCATTAAAGCTCCCTTTTATTTTGAGCAGACGGCTAAAGCGTGGGCGGCGTCCTCTGTTGCCGGCCCTCCTGCCCTCTGAGGGCCGAGGGCAGGTGGGGAAGGAGGCTCCGGGACCTCTGGCCAAACGGGGGGCCATCAGCCTTCTCGGGGTGGGGGGGCTGTCCGAACGGAGAAGCCTGCCTTCTTTTGACCCTGCAGAACCAGGGGCGCCTTCCCAAACACTAAAGGGATTTCTCAGCCCAGGAATTCATTTGGGGGGGGGGCAGACTTACAGAGGGCTCCCATCTCTATGAGCCTCGCTTTGGCTACCCAAGTTTTCTTGCTTCTAGCCTGTCCTTTAGGGCGTGGGAGGGAAATGATTTCACTGTTGCTGTTGCTGCTGCACCCTGGGGCTTGGTTGCTTAATCAGCCTACTCTGAACCGCTGCCTCCAAGGAGTTTGAAAAGCCCCTTTTCTGTTTTAAAACTGAGAATAATTTGGGAGAAATGAAAGGGAGAACAGCTTTTAAGAGGAGAGAACGTCTGGGGCATGGCTGTTGAGAACACAGAGCAGCCATGGAGAAAAAGGAGGAGGGCATGCCAGCCCCCAGGTGGTACGTGCGTCTCTCTCTCTCTCTCTCTCTCTTGTGTGTGTGCTTCCCGCCCTTAAAGGAGCAGAAACAGCCGGGCCAGCGCCTTCCCGCCCCCTGCCCCCCCCCCGGGCTTTCCACAACCAAGCACGAGACGTCTCCTCTCTGGAGTGGAGTGGGGAACTTTCTTCCTGCGTGTGCTGAGTCAGGGGGAACCGGCTCTGGCGTATCCTGACCAGTAGGGGACAGTCGGTTTGCCCCGCGGCAGTGCCCCTGCGGCTCACGTTGCAGCCCCTTCCCCTCCCCGCCCGCAGAGACCAGCGCCACGTGTGTGCCACACCTGTAAACATTTATTGTCCCCAAACTGTCCTGAACGAGAGCACCACGGCGGACGAACCTGAACCCCTGTGCTTCCGGCGCAGCAGCCTGGCCCGTGGGCGGGCGTGTGGGTGCGCGCCCAAGCTGGCTCAGCGCAGGCGACACCTCTTAGCAGCAGAGGGATGGCAGGGAAAGCAAGGGCACGGGTGCAGGGGGGGTGCGGGTGGGGTGAGGGCCCCAACCTCTCCCGCAAGCCATTCTCTACTGACCCTACAAACACAAGCAGCACCAGGCAGGGGCCCGATCCGGCCCGTAGCTTATTCACACGCCCTTCCCCCCAAAAAGGGCCTGAACCCCGAGTGTGTGGGGGGGGGAAGGGCTGCAGCAACACTGTCAAGGCCCCTCCTCACATCAAAGCCCACAGCCGAGGAGGGAGGGATGGAGGGAGGGGGCGCTGCTGCCCTTCTTCTGGACCCACTCCTGGGGTGGTGGCAGCCATCCTCTCGGGGAATTGACGTCGGCAGCTTTCAACCGCCCAGAAACCTGGAAGAACAAAAGCAAAGTTGGAGCAGGCCATGGGGGGGGGTTTCCACACACCCAAAGAGAACCCACAAAGCCTACCCCCCACACACACACACACCCCACACGTCTCCCCGAGGCTGAGAGGGGTCCATCCTTCCATCTACAGGCAGGGCAGAGAGCTGGGCTCTTGTTGCAGTTTTGGAAGCAAAGTGGCGTCCAGCCCATGGCTGAGCCCATGGTGGGGAGACCAGCAGGACGCCAGCAGGGGAAGCGTGTGTGGCCGGGGGGGGAGAGGCTGGACATGGCAAGCGGGGGGGGGAGCAGGGAGGCAGCTCAGAGACAAAGCACAGGCACTCTTTGGAAAAGGTTCCAGCCTCAAGCCCAGCGTCCCCTCTTGGGGAGGGAGGGATGGGGGTAGGGAGGGGAGAGGAGGAAGCCCTGGAGAGCCCACGCCTGTCCGTCAGAGCCATCTGGCCTGGTCTCCGAGGGATGAGGAAGGGTCTGACTCGGGAGGCCTCCCTTGCTCAGTTCTTCTGCACCTGCCCATCCCCAGGTTAATCTCCCCCACCTCTGAAAGTAGGCCCCACCGAAAACAAAGGGAGGTGAATGGGGGGGGGGCAAGGGAGGGAGAGGAAGAGAGACTTACACCAAGAGGGATGAAGGGCATGGAGTGGGGGGGGCAGGATGTGCTAGCTCTTCTCCTTCTCTGGCTGTTGCTGCTGCTCAGCCGGTGCCTCTTCCCAGCCCGCGAGGGCCAGATCCTGGCTCTGTGTGTGCGTGGGCATCTTGGCCTCTGCAGGGAGGAGGAGAGGAAGGTGAGGTGAGAGGTGCCCTCAGCCCTCCGGGGAAGTCTCAGCCTCCTTCTTTGGGAAGACACCCCCTGCCCGCCCAGGCCCCTCCTGGAAGCTCACTCTCCCCACAAGGGGCAAGGTCACACCAAAGCTTAGAAACTTCCCTGTTGTCTTTCCACCTTGGGCGCGGCCTGGCACCCGGTGGCGAGAGGAGGCCAAGCCGTGCTCCCCGGCCATCCAAGCAGCTCCTGCTCCGGCCTTGACTTCCAGGCCAGTCTCCTTACAAGCCGCCAGCTCAGCAGGGGTCAGAGTGGCTGCCCAACGTCAGGCTGGGCCACTCAAAGGGCAAACCCCTTTCAGGCCTCATCCTGCTTCAAGCCAAGATACAGGGAGCCAGACCGCATGGAAGGGCCACACACACCAGGCCAGGCCACCTCTCACACGGCATGGGCCGCCTGGGGAAGGAAACCAGCCCCTCCTCTCCCAAACAGCAGAGCCCACCCGGGCGAGAAGAAAAGCGCCAGAGCCCCACCCTCCCCCACTCTGACCTGCTTGTGCCGACGGCCGCACAGGCGTGCAGGCTGAGGATGACCCCCTCCGTTGCTGCTGCTGCTGCTGCTGGTGGTGAAGCTGAAAGGCAGAGGATGGCGGAGGTCAGAGAGAGGGGCCCTTGTTTCTCCCGCCCCACTGGTCAGAGCCCGGCAAAGAGGCTCTGACCCAGGGACCCTGCCGGAGAAGGACCCAGAGGGCGCCACGGCTCCTCCCTTCTTGCGCCCGCCATGGCGCTCCCACGGCCCCTCACCTCATGCATGTAAATGGCGTGTAGGCTCATCTCTGCTGAGGCAAATTCGGAGAGCAGCACCGAACGGGAGAGGGGCCCCTGGCGTCTCTCGGAGGGAGCAACGCTGCAGGATAAGGAAAAGCAGGAAGCCCATGTCCATCACCACCTGTACAGAGACTGCACCCCCCCCCCGCGGAAAGGGTGCCTTCGCAAGAGGGGTATCTTTACAAAGACCCCCCTTCCTTCGGGGAAAGGGTTCTGGCTGGGAAGGGCAGCCATGGAGCCAGGAGAAAGCCTGGAGTTAAGTCGACAGGCAGCGAGCAGAGGGAACGCAGGAGGCGACCCTCCTCCCTTCAGGACGTGGCAGAACTCTCACACAGAACCTGCCGATTCCAGGAACTGCGCAGGCCGGCCAAAGAGAACGGCTGCCCTCCCAGCCTGGGCTTGGGTGTCTCTCTCTGGCCTCTGGGCTCCCAGCCCAGAGCAAGGGAAAGGTGAGGGGCAAGACAGCTGGGCTAACTTCCAGCCTCACCCCACTCCTCTGCCCCGCCACAGCAAGGCACCCCCGACAGCCCTCCCAGCCTCACCCGGAGCCCCGCTTCCTACCTGGCCCCCAGGATGGTGCTGTCGCTGCGGTAGACAGAGTTCTCGCCCGGAGGGAAGCTGTGTCGGGGCAGCTGGGAGCACGAGAGGGAGGCCAAGATGCTGGCGGCCGCGCTGGCCGCGCTACCCGGTCGCGTGAAGAAGCGCCGGTGCTCGGCTGGAGGGGCCGGGCTGCCGGCGGCCAGAACAGGGTGGGCCAGAACGCTGGCCAGCAGGGCGTCCGGCTGCCGAGGGAGAGAGGGAGAGAGGGAGGGAGGAGGGTCAAGGCCGGGAAGGACCTGCAGCGGCCGGGCTGGGCCAGCCGGAGGGCCGCCTTCCCCAGAGCCTTGGGACTTACCACGGTGCTGAGTCCTTCGTCAGAAAGGAAGGAGGCGCCCAAAGGGGCCTCGGCCAGAAGGCGCTGGGCGGGGGGCGCGAGGGCGGCATCCTGCTGCACCTTCTCCTTCAGGTGGCCGATGAAGAGGGAGCTCTCGGGTGGGGGCTGCCAGCGGGGGTTGGTGATGGCGAAGTGGACGAGGGAGAGCTCCGTCTTGCCGTTCTCTGCCTGCTGGTAGACGGAGGCCTCCGTTCTGCCCTGGGAGAGCCACTGCCGAAAGAGCCGGGAGAGGAAAGGGAAAAGGGGGGGCGGTTTCAGCAGCCGCCTGTGGGCCCAAGGTGGAGTGGGGGGGGCAGGCAGGGGCACAATCCTTCCTGTTCCGGTGGGGGAGGGTCACAGCAGAACCGGGAGGCAAGTCAGGAAAAGTTCCCCGACTGGCCCGTGTTCTGCTCTCAGCCTCCACTTCCGTGAAACGGGGTTACCCAATGAGGAACCACCACCGGGAAAGTCCTCTAAGCAACGGATCGCGCCCCCCCCTCCCAAGCATGGAGCGCTTCCTCACCACCCCACCACCTCCGGAGATG